CGCCTTGAGGCTCAGTTTGGAAGGAATGCAAAACCTTGTATTTTATATGTATTTATACTATACATATTTATATTTTGTACTCATTCCAAACTGAACCTAAATATCAGTATTGGTTTCACTTAAAATTTACAACATTAGAAATTGAAAGGAGAAGGTGAACGTGTTGAGTGCAGTATTGAGGACCAAGTTGAATAAAGAAAATGTAAATGCAATACAGCTATGTCTTAATTGGATGGTTGAAATTTCTAACTTACGTAACTATTCTTTCAGAGGATTTGGAATTCTGTGTGTATATATATTAAATGTAATGGCCCCATTGTCTAGTTGAGATTGACAAACATACATGATACAACTGAATTCTCTTTGGTTTTTCAGGCATTTTTCAACGTTAGTTAATGTAAGATAAATGAGAAAATGTGTGATGCGAGCCCGGAAAGATATGATATTGGAAAGGCTTTGGCTAAAACTATTAATTCTACAAAAAAATGGTTTTTCAGTTTATGAGGAAGAGATTGATCTATTCTACAAAAAAATAAAAATAACATTTGAATAGCACTATTAATTCTTAAGATTAATTCTTCAAATCCAAATCCATACAAACCCATACAAAGGATTGCGAATACCCGAGTTCTTGTCACCAGAGGAAATGAAGGAGAATACCTGATTACATGTAAATACACCACCACATGAGAAAATTCTGAAATGTCCAATGACAAAGCATTAAAATGAGTTTCATAATTATGTGATATATAGATAGATAGATAGATAGATACAAGATTATATAACTGAATGGGCCCCATTTAGATGCCACTTGTACAACTTATAACTAACATGGGTCCCACTTCAATACGCCCCCTCAAGTTGAAGCATGAGGTCAAATGCTCAACTTGGGTAATATAGCATGGAATTGTTCCCGGCCAAGTGCTTTAGTGAATATGTTATCTGGCTGGAATTTGGAGGAGATATGTGATGTGGTGATCAATTTGGACTGCAAATGTTCTTGTATGAAGTGTCAATCGATTTCTATATGTTTAGTGTGCTCATGGAGGATCAAATTGACAGCAATGTGGAGGGCTACTTTATTATTGCAAAAGAGTTCCATTAGTTGTGGGTGCAAGAGACTGAGGTCAGTGAAAAGTTGCTTGAGCCAAATTAATTCACTTGTGGCAATAGCAATACTTCAGCTGAGGAACGAGAAACAGTAAATTGTTTTTTTGATCTCTAGGATGAGGGAGAGGTGCCTACAGCTTAGACTAAGGGAAAAGTTAAATAGATTTTTTTTTTTTTTTTCATTTGCATTTCCATGTGTTTATATTAGTGCAAATAAATTTGAACTGCAACCAGCAAACACGGCCTAAGGGAAAAGTTGTATCACAAAACAGATGGTGATTCATGAAAATTCTACATTGCAGTATAGATGAGGGCTCAAAGTGGGTCCACATGATCCTCTCTCCACCCTCTGTTCACGTGGATAAGTTTCAACCTGAAATGTCCTACCACATGGACGACGGAAGTGAACACAACCAATTCTGGAAGTCACTCTGATAGTCTGGATTGGCCACATCCAATTAATGCTGCAACTAGGGCCGGGTTAGCTCAAACCCAACCCTAACCCAATCCAAAAACGTCGGGTTGGATTGGGTTGATACTTGGATTAGGGTTAGGTTGAAATTTATGAACCCGATTTTACTTCGGGTTGGGTTAAAGCTGATCCTTTGGGCAATTCGACCCAATCCGAGTCCGACTCTACAGTATATATCATATATAAATATATGTTATATATATGATCATATGTTTAGATGCATGATAATTATATAACCACTACTACATACCATCATTTATTTCATTTAAGATAATCAATTCACTTAATCCTAATTAGAAATACTAAAACCTTGATAACATATTTTATGTATTTTAAATATTTTATTCTTTATCTCCTCTCTGTTGTTCGCCACCAATAGCTTGTTTTCCATAAAAGATTTATTATAAGCCATCATAATAAACTATAGTTATTTCAAACACTTTTTTTTCTGAATTTTGTACTTAAAGAACCAATAAAAACATTAACAAACAAATACTAATAAAACATATGATTAATATATGTAATAATCCTAAGCATGGGGCAATTAAGTTATTTTTATGCGAAGATTGAAGCTTTCTTTTTAAAGTTGAAAGAATCCTCTTATGCTCTTGGATAAGTGAACCCCCTCTTCTTGAGTAAGTCCCTAACTTGTTGCTTCCATGTTGTAATTCACATATTATCAACGAAGTTGCATCCGATTTTCTTCTTCTTTTTCTCTTTTTTTTTTGAGTAAATTTCTTCATATTTGAGCTACATCACTGCTTAAGTTATAAATTGGACCAAAAATATATAAATGGGTGCTGGTTCAAATGGTTTGATTATTTGGGTTAACGACAAGTTGAAAACATTGATTTATATAGTTGAACGAAAGCAGCTTAATAAAGAAAAAAACCAAAGCAACTTAATAAAGAAAAATCAAAGCAGCTTAATAAATAAATAAAAAAAAACTAAAGCAGCTTACTAAAGAAAAAAAACCAAATTGGACCAAAAAATGTAATTGGGTACCGGTTCAAATGGTTTGATTATTTGGGTTAATGACAAGTTGAAAACATTGATTTATATAATTGAACCAAAGTGGCTTAATAAAGAAAAAAACCAAACAACTTAATAAAGAAAAAAAATAAAATCAGCTTAATAAATAAAATAAGAAAAAGAACTAAAGCAGCTTACTAAAGGAAAAAAACCAAAGTAGCTACACCAACTTCGTTGAACCAAAACTTATTTTTACCTCAACACTCCTAAATGAGGTTGGGTACCGGTTCAAATGGTTTGACTATTTGGGTTAACAATAAGTTGAAAACATTGATTTATACAGTTGAACCAAAGTGGCTTAATAAAGAAAAAAAAAACCAAAGCAACTTAATAAAGAAAAAAAATGTCAAAGCAGCTTAATAAATAAAAAAAAGAACTAAAGCAGCTTACTAAAGAAAAAAAACCAAAGTAGCTAAACCAACTTTGTTGAACCAAAACTTATCTTTATCTCAACACTCCCAAATGAGGATGGTTGCAGGACAAACCCGAGACCCCCCTCTCCCGATGATTTTTGAACACACCAATGTTTTAACCAAACATCAGTTTGATGTGATATCTTGTCTTTTTCATCAAAGACGGGTGTGTTCACCAAATATACATACATACATACATACATATGCACACACATATGGAAAAAATTATCTTTTATGATGCTAGTTGACTGGTTGCAAGTTTTCTTGATATCATGTCTTTCCAACATCAAAATCAAGCGCATGTATATACCCACAATATCCATTATTTATTCAATTTTCAATTCTATGCTTATTCACTATCTCTTCTCCCTCCATTTAAGGCCATGTTTGGTTTGAAGGAAAAGGCAAGGAAAGGAAGGGAAAGGTAAGGAAACCTAACCCATGTATATACCCACAATATCCATTATTTATTCAATTTTCAATTCTATGCTTATTCATTATCTCTTTTCCCTCTTTTTAAGGCTATGTTTGATTTGAAGGAAAAGTAGGGAAAGGAACGGAAAAGTAGGGAAATCTTTACAAACCTTTCCCTACTTTTTTCTTCAAACCAAACACAGCCTTAGTGAGTGACCTCTTACACGTTTATTTGCATGTGCCACTCAAACCGAGGAGCTTGGAGCTTCATCTTTTGAGTTTAGGTCAGCTCCTCACATTGACCTCATAGCTCGGGGTGAGCAAAGAAAACTGAAAAACTGAACTGACCAAAAAAACCAATCGAAACCGAATAAAAAATCGGTTAACCAAACCGATCGGTTTGGTTTCGGTTTGATGTTTTCAAAAAACCAACAATTTCGGTTAACCATTTAAAAAAATCGACGATTAACTGAACCGGATGATATATATAAACAATAATATATATTTATATAATATTATATATTATATATTATTTTTTATTATTTTTTGAAAATCTAATAAATGTCGAACTGAGATTTTTCAATTCAGCAATAGACTCTAGAGTATTCGCTACTTTGCCAGACTAGCGAACTGAAACTTTTTAGTTCGCCAGTCTGCCAGACTAGCGAACAACTAGACTTTTCAGTCCCTTTCCCTTTCTTTCCCTCTCTCTCTCGACTCTCACTCTCTTAGACTCATTCTTTCCCTCTCTCTCTGAGTTCTCTCTCTTGACTCTCACTCTCTCAGATTCATTCTTTCCCTCTCTCTCTGAGCTCTCTCTTTTGACTCTCACTCTTCGGCGCTCCCAAAAATCAACGAATCAACGGGCGACCGCCTTTGGCACTCCCAACTGCAATAGCTTCAACAGACCAATGGGCGACAACCTTCAACACTCCCAAAAATCAATTTTCTTCTTTGTTCTTCCCTAGGCCTTGATCTCTCTCTCTCTCTCTCTCTCTCTCTCTCTTGTCTCTGAGCTTTTTGTATTTCTTCCACTCTCCCACTCTCTCAGATTCCCACTCTCTCTATCTCTAGTTCCTTTTTTTTTTTAATTTTAAAGTCATAAAAAAATCGAAAAACTGAACTGTGGTTGCATCAATTTAGTTTTGGTTCGGTTAAATGTAAAAACCAAACAAATCGGTTCAGTCCAAAAAATCATCCCAACCGAACCGTGAGCACTCCTACTCATAACATGCCTTGGCTGCATAGTGAGAACTGGAAACATTCCCAATATACGGTGGGATGTGGCTGTGAGGTCACTATGATAAACACATCCCAATTTTCACCTTTTTCGGCAAGGTGCAACTCTAGATCTCCTGCCCACAAAATCTCTATCCACACCTATTCACAATACACTACCCTGTGCATTGTGAACATCTCCCCTACAAAATAACATGTAATAGGACGAGATGTTCCCATGTTTGGCTGCGATGTTAGGTGGGTAGGAAATCCGAACTTGTGCAGAGGAGTGCGTAAGATTATTATCGTACACCTACGGCGCATGCTATGCTTTAATACTCGGTAGAAAGCAAAAAAACAGAGTGAAGTTTGGCTGTATAGGCAGTCAGGCACCATTTCATTATCCAAAAACAACGGTCACCGTGGACCGTTCTCCTGAGCCATCTAAAATCCATCCTCTCCTCGTCTCAACTCTGTAAATCAAGAACAAAGCACCATGGCGGCAGCGGCATCGGCCGGTGTTTTGTTGGGCCACTCTTGCTCCTCCTCTTCGTTTCTTAGCTTCCGCAAATTGGAGAGCTCAAACAGGTCTTTGAAGTTCAAGGCTTCCGACTTGGGGTTCCTGACGTCGCAGTTGAGCGGCCTTAAAATTGCCAACTACCCAGGCTTCCCTTCCTCTACCAACCATGCCAAGCTCATCTCTGCTCCTCCAAGACCATTCATTCTTCAACCTGTTGCTCGTAAGTCACATCTCTTTGTATTTCTTTTCCAAATCACTTTTTGTCTGTTTTATAATTCGTATTGCAAGTATTGTATGCTGATTCCGTGTTAATAGACTTTAGTGGGTTTATCTACAATTGCTGGAAAGAAATGGTATACCCTTACTTTTTTTTTTCCTTTCTGGATTTAATTTTGACAAAAAAAAAAGCTTTTTACTTATTTCATTGTATCAAATCATTTACGTCGGAATTACTGAGTTTATTGTTGACTGTTTTGGTGAGAGGTATGATGGGTCATTACCATACTTTATGGTTAATTAGTAGCATTTGTGGATTAACCCAATTCACAGTTTATTATTCTATAGCTACTAAATTGGTTCGTCCTGTTTTAATGTTGGTTTATCCAAGAAAATGCAAGTATATCCAAAACAATCGGACTGTTATTAAGAGATGTTCTTTTTTGCTTGATGTTCTTTCTTTCTTTCTTTTTTTAAGGGATGACTGGGTATTTAGTATAACGATGATGATTATACAGCATCATAGACATAGAGATGGGCAGATTGGAGATGCAACTCTAATGACTTATCAAAAATCTGTTTGATATCTATAACAAACGGACTGTTATTAAGAGATGGGTCCGTTTGGTTTGCAGTCGGAATCGGAATTGAAATCCTCCGGAATTAGAACCGGAATGGTCCATTCCCATAGTCTGTTTGGTTCAGACAGGAATGAAAATGGGAATTAAAATCAGCAGGAATGGGATTTCATTCCCAAGGGAGAAGGGAATGGCCATTCACTCAAATGGGAGAATGCCATTCCAGCAGGAATGGGAATGGGATTCCGATTCTGCCCAACCAAACAGTTGGAACCGGAATAACCCATTCTGATTCCGATTCCGATTCCAGACCCCTATTCCTGTGAACCAAACGGGGCTGAAACTTGTTATGTAGAAAAGCAAACTATGGAGCATAAAATAATTTTTTCATAAGTATCAGTTGCTTGTGTATAGATATGCACAAGATGTACACGAATCTCTCCTTGTAATCTTTTAAGATGAGCATAATGGTAGAACTAGAACATATCTAGGTGTTATGCCCTACATGAAACATGGAGTTTTGGTTAGAAATAGGTTGAACCTACATTTTGGCAGAATAGGAACAGGGTGTAAGGAAAGATAGATCACTAGGTCTTTTAGTGTTTGAAACCAAATTAGCTTAGTGGCCATGCTATCACCTTGACTTGTTTTCAGACATGCAACTGTTTCTTGTTTGTGAAGAACTCCATAATATAAGGTTCAGGCCAAAGAAAATAACATGACCGCCCATAGGCAAATGATCATCTGGCTCAACTAAATCAACACTAGAGAATGTATTAGGACATGAGAATGGCTATCAGATATTGTGGTTGTAATGTGAAATGTACTTCTGAGATCTCAGGGGCCATTTTATTGCTTTACTGTGATTAGATCTTGGTTTATGCTGGTGTCAATGAATTGAAACGTATCTGACAGAGAATCTAATATCAAGTCTGGTAAACCTAGAGTTCAGAATTTCAGCAATCCGGCTTCTATATCCTGTGGCATCTTGCAGGTGATCACCATGTGAGACAAATTTTTGGAGGCAGCCCATGGGTATAGTGACCAATTTAGCCTCAAGTTTGATGTGCTAGAAAGTATCCAGCGTGCACTTTCTTTAAGAGGAATAATCACGAAGATTTGAAGTTAAGCATCTAGTTTCTCCGAGAGAGAAATGATCTAGCAGAGCCACAGTGAGTTTCAAACAAGAAAACTGGAGTTAAATGCATATAAAAACAATGGGCATCTATACCTCCTCTTAATTCCAAGTTAACTTTTCTTTTATCCAATATGAAAAACAATTTCAATTCCATGTTCCAAATTCCTTCATGACCTTGCTGTACATAGTTGTTAAGGTGACGCCTAGGCGGGGAACTCAGAGCATAGATTGTATATCTTCATTGCTCCTCTATTAAATTTTTGTTTAAAAAACCCATATTTGAAGCAAAGAAATCACATCCCTAAGCAAGGTGTTAGTCCAATTCATGCAGTCTTCTACAATAGAAAGATCCATAACAACTGGGAAAAAATTATATTGAACTGAATATGGCTGAACTTCAATTCCAAGTACTAGCATAACAAACCCAACAACCATGGTCTAAGAAGAAGTCACTCTACTTCTCAGTTGGAACAAAACCACAACATAGAGCAGCCTTCCAAAGATGGCCTTAAAAATGCCATCCATGCCAAGATATCATCGTTCACCTTGCAATACTTCTTCAAGCACACCTCCTTTGCCATCACTTCCAGACAACCTTCCAAGCCCAAGCACAGTAATCTACAACTCAGGCTAGCTATCAACAGCCCTTCATCATTGATCTTCTTCCAAGATTTTCCAATTTTTTACACTCATTCACCTTACTCATAATTTTGCTACAGTTTATTTTCTTGTGATTCTCATTTTGTTCAGGACTCTGAAAGGTGAATATAGAATTACACTTCCAAAGGTTATGTGAGTAATTTTCTGAATGAGAAAACAGCTCCTTTGAAGTTCATTTATAAACAAATCTTAGAAGTTAGAAAAGAATTGCATAGGTCCAGATGCGGTTGCTCCATGGATTCATCACAATGTAAGAGCTCCCAAGACTGCCGATGAAGAAGTTAGATTTGCATCATTACAAATTAGATATACCTTAATACCTTAGATGAACCTAAGAAGATACCTCTGCAGCTGCATCAAAATCAAAGAGATCTAGTCCTTTTCCAAGTTGCAGGTGATCTTTGAAAGGGAAGCTAAAATCACGTGGACTACCAACCTACAAAATAAAAGTAAATTTTGGAAAAAGAAGGTAGATGAACCTGATCTACTGAACTTGATAATGGGATCATAAAATCCTAATACCATCCTTCTGAGTACTGAGCAATCCTCCCCTCCAATAGGAACATCTGGATGAGTCATATTTGGTATGCTTTGTGCTTCTTGTTGAAGCTTATCAGTGAGCTCGACAAGGTCTTCTTCTAGAGTTGCAAGTCCTTCCTTAAAATTCTTTCCTGCATATACAATAAACCAGAACAGTATCAACAATAAAATAAATAGTTTAATGAATACCTTCTTCTATAAGTCTTCGGCATTCAGATGGTTCTAGTTTTCCTTTCATCTTGTTTGCAACCACATTTCTTTCCCCACGAAGCTGTTCAACTTCCTGCCATCTGTGAATCATAATTGGCTATAACAGAATAGGCATCTTTTGTGCATTTGTCATCTCAGAGTTGCAACCATTGTTCAAGAAATAAATTAGACTGTGCAGTCACATTGGATTGCATTGGAGTTGGATCCCTATTGGTTCATTTTGGTTACCAAATGAATTGTTGTAAGAACTAGATAGAACTGATTAATCAAATAGCCTAACAGTGCTACCTTCTATTCTCTCCCAATCTCAAGGGACTTTCATACAAGGGAGGCAAATCACCAATAAAATCCTTACAGCCAATGAGTGTGTACAACAATTTAGAAGGATGGGAAGGAAAGGATTAGTGTGTAAACTAGAATTGGAGAGAGCCTACAATTATATGGATTGTTTTCTTTTTCTTCTGGACTGGGTTTTGTTAAGTTTTGGGTTTGGAGAGAGATGGAGAAAATGGGTTATAGGATTCCTGCTCCTACTATTACTCCATTCTTGTAAATGGAGAAAATCCTTAGGCAGGGTGATTGTCTCCATTCCTATTCACCTTAGTTGCAAATGTTGCTAGATGGTTGGTTGATCACCATGGCAAATAATACAATTTAGTCAGGGGATGGAGGGTGGGTAAAGATAAGGTGCCATGGCAGTAACTCATTTACAAATTTTATGATATCATCATCTTTTGTGAGGACATGGGGGAAGAGGATATCATTAGGAATACTAGGCTCATGCTTAACTGTTTTGAAAAAAAAAAACTCAAATTTGAGGGTCAATCCAGTAAGAGTTGCGCCAAGTGGTGAGTGAACAGGGGCATTATATCTTTTACCTTTAGTTTTATAATTGTCCTGTTCTGTCCCATACTTAATGAGGTGTCCCATAATAAAAGCTGGATATACCCTTCTAAAACCCAAATCCTCTCCTCTCCTTCGGCCTACACACCTTTTTCCCAATTGACCAAATAAAACTTCTTGTTCCCTCCTCCCCCTCCCACACCTTCCCATAAGAAGCCCTTTTGAATCTTCTCCACTTTCTCTGCAACTTGTGATGCTACCCTCAATAAGAACACTCTTAATTAAAGTTATTCTCCCCTCTAAACTCAAAGCTTTAGATATTTTAATTCCTGCTTCAACTAGGTACTTCAAATCTATTTTCCTGTTAAGTTGACTTGTTTCATCTATTGGGATAACCTCATTGTTCTCAACTCCTTGTTCAACATCATCTTCCATTTCATCTATCAAAAAAAAAAAAAATCTTCCATTTCAACCATCTTCAAGTTCTCTATGGTTCATTGCATTTCTGTTGTATAATTGGAAGGAATGCTTGGGCCAATCTTGTTTAACGGGCCTAAATGTTTTAAGTATTTTGATACATGGGTTTGCTTTTACTTTTTTATTTGTTTCAAGGGAACCAATACTTGACCCAATTCCTCATTTATGAGACTAATTCAACATTTCAACCACCCAGAGAGGGAGGGGATTTTGTTCATCTTGGATTCTGATTACCCCTGGGATAAGAATATAGGTGCAGGAGTAAAATGCGAACTTGATCAAACATGACTAAAAAGGAAATAAAAGATTAAAGTGTTTTCCTTCTTGAGTAAACGGAGATGATATTGCAAGTGGATTCGTTGATGTGAGTTTTGGGTTAGGTTTTGTTAGACAAAACAATTAAGGAGGTTTATGTTTGATCTTTTCTGCATCTATTTATTTCTCTATTTTATTTATTTCAGACAATGCATGAAAGGGTAATATTGAATTAGGAGGTGAGGTGATTGGGAATGGGTTTCACGTTTGCATGTATCTTCCAATATATGTTAAATCAAAACAGGTAGAATTAATGAACTACCTTAATTGGTTTTTCAGGCAGAGTATGTCCTTTCACTGGAAAGAAAGCAAACAAGGCAAACAAGGTCTCATTCTCAAACCACAAGACCAAGAAGTTGCAATTTGTAAATCTGCAGTACAAGAGGATCTGGTGGGAAGGGGGGAAACGCTATCTTAAATTACGTCTCTCGACTAAGGCATTGAAGACCATAGAGAAGAATGGCCTGGAAGCTGTTGCTAAGAAGGCAGGGATAGATCTTAGAAAGGAGTGATATATCACCAGTTTGTTTTTACAAATGATATTGTTTTTGCTTCTGCAATTGTGGTTTTTCCTTTTTCTTGTCATATTTTCATGTTATCTGAGCCTAGCCTTTTTTGTTTAAGTAAAAGATTCAATGCAATTTGATCAAAAAAAGATTCAATGCAATGTATTTCTTCTTCATAGATAGGAAAATTTTCTATATTCAAGTGTTATTTTTGTAGGGATTTATGGGAATAAGAGGAAGTTCCCCAAATTTTGTCAAATAAACTTGCCTCCCCTGGGATGACTGTTTCAGGCACAATATTTTCTGAACTGACTAAAGCCTGGGCTGGCTTGTTAAATAATTTCTTTCCCCAAATTAGATTTTGTAGTTCTTTCTTTTTCTACAAAAGGTTGAACCAGGGTTCAGATTATGCACGCAATGAATTTGTTCATTCCTTGATGTAGTGGAATTAGGGACAGCAACCAGGGGGTTTTGTAAATTCTAAACCCTACCTGCCTCCCTAGACCTCCCAACCTGCTCTCCCCAAAACAGGTAGCGGGTTGGATATTTAGAATCCAAACCCTCTCTTCACATGAAAATGCAAAACCCTCTTCAATCTTATCCTCCCCGCATTTGAGAGTGGGGTGGGTCAATTGACAGGTTGGGTATAGAATCCACATCTAATTTCCTATTATATATGAGCAATAAACAAGCAAAATATCACAACAACCATCAAAATTTCCAATTATTTGATTAAACATGTAAAAAACACAACTATAAAATATTATTGCATTCAACACCTAGTAATAAGTTCATATGCCTTCCAACAATATGTTCATATGCCTTTTCTTATTTAGCTTAATACCGTACCCTATCCATACCCGTACTGGTTGTTAAATCTCAAAATCATTCCTGTGCCAAAGTCCATTTCTCAAGGAAAAAAACCCTCCCTATTGAGGCTGGTACCTGCCGGGTATGGTAGAAATTGCCATTGGAATGCATAAAAAGGAAGGTGGTGATGGGGAAATAAAACAAAAAAAAAAAAGCTTTAGAGTAGTGGAGACATTGAAAATCTGCTTTGTTATTCACTGGCACGTTCCTGTGATATAGAGACAATCAATGTTATTCACTGGCACGTTCCTGTCCAATGCATAAAAAGAAAATGTCATGAAAACACGATCTGCACCAAACCAATAGCATGGTTGTCATTGGACAGGGTGAAAGAGCACCAGATTATATCAGATTGGGAAGAAGATTGAAATGGGGAGGGAGGGGGTGAGAAATGAACAAAGGCATGGCGGAGAAATGAACAGAGGCATGGCGCATTGCCATGCCATGAGAAGGGAAATAAAGGCAGCATGAGAGGATATAGATAAAGAAGCATCCCTCGTCTCATCTGAATGAAGACAATGCTGAAGCTCATAAAGACGAAAGAATCCTTTTGTAGATGGCAGGCTCTATTTGACAAGAGTGCAAATACCAGGTCGATACATATATGCCCTCTGGTTTAGTTTTGCAGACATTTACCAAACACATTTGTATACTGAAAATGACGGTTATTACAAATTCTTTGCATTCTAAATGAGAGAAAAACCAAGCCAACTTTACATTTTCGTGAACCAGCATATTTGCATTTGCACTCTTTTCCAACGGAGCTATCCAAGGCTGCAATATAAGATTTAACAGTCACTTAGAAAGGATCTAAGCCAGAGGACAGGTATGCCGTTGCAAACAGCTTGCCAGCGAGAATGGCACAGAGAAAGACAATGAACAATCTTTAAATTAAAGTTGTTTGATTACTTTACTCATCCTTGGTTTTCAAACCTTTATCCATCTAATTTCTAACCAGCTTTCCAGAATCCAACTCCCTTTCCTTTCTGGGAAATCATGTTCACCAATGACATCCTTTTAGGGTGTATAGAAGTTTTAGTACTTGAATCCATTTCTGTTTCAACATAGAATGGATTGAAAATTTCACTCAGAAATGTATCAGCCATATTAAGCTCCTCTTACAGAAGATCAAATGCAGACATCTTCTTGAGGTTCCATGTACAAATGGGCAGAAAATTCTTTATTAAAAATTGTCAAATATCTCGTTTATTCCCATCGCTTTTACATAGAAACAAAAACAACCTTCATAAAAAAATAAACCCAAAATTTCCCAGTTATTGAGTAAAACTGCCTTCAAATTTTAATAGATTCAGCGAATTCAAATAAGCACAGGAGGTAATTTAAACAAGAAAGCCAAGTGCAACAAGTAGAATAGAGGCTAATGCATTGCAATTTCTTCTATTGTCAAAAGAGCTCCAAGCCTCCAATAGGGGATAATAACAAGATAATGACTACATGGAGATGGACCTGGTCCATGACAAGATTCTATGCCTGAACACCTTCCACCAAAAAAAAAAAAAGCCTGAACACCCCTTCACCAGAGGAGGATCATACAAATTATCAGCTGTGAATGTGTGTGTGTGTGTGTGAGTGAGAGAGAGAGAGAGAGAGATTTGGTACTGAATTCAACCCTTTGAATGTGTTACAGTGCTTAAAATCCAGATTGACAATGTGATCCATGTGAACATATGTGTAAACAATGGCTCAAAGGAAACAGAATGCGAGACGTAAGTTCCTCCAAGAAAATTTTGGTTAGCTGCGCTTCTTAATCTCAAATGAATAGTTCAGTTCTAAATGACATCTCTTGTCATCATCTTCAAACTGCATGAAACGACATAGTTGAGAAGCAACATTAGCGATATAAATATTCCATTCGAGAAGTAAATTTAATAGCAGAATATAAAATATGAAAAAGAAACAAAGAGGAAATAAGGCTTCTTGAGAACAGTAGTTTCCAGTGGACATAATACACTAAAACAGGGTGTGGGGCTATGCCATGGTCTTGGCTAATAAACATTTATGTTTGGTTTCAACTAACCCACCTACAGCGCTTGCAGTTACAGTTTATTTATTTATTTATTTTTAATTATTGGTATCACTTGCAGTTCTAGATTGTCGCATTTGATTTTATATTTTTTAATTAGAAGGCTGTCTAGTGAAGCATTCATATTAATATTTGAACAAAATTATATTTTCTGTCATAAAAATAGTATTTAGTAAGATAATACCAATAACATGGCAAGTTCAAGCTTATAACAAAGGAAAAAGGGGGAAATTGCTTTATTTTGTTGTTGACAAATCAAAACAAGGAAGACTCAACTCAGAATGAAAACAAAATAGAACTCTTTTAACAAATGAAAAGGGCCTCAATTCCCCTTTCTAACAAATGAAAAGGGCAAATAAAGCTCTTTTTTGCTATGGTAAAACGATTTTCAAAATCCAAGCTACTAGTTTAATGTTAATGAAGCTAAAAGAAATATATATTGCAAAATGAAACTCAAGAATATGAATCAAAGTTAAAAAGTAACATATTTTTGGCAAGAAGGAAAAAAAATTTTGGAGCTCTGTTCATACACAAATGATGGGGTTTATGGAGGAGAGAACTAAGAGAATTTTTTATGGAAATAAAAAAGGAACTAAAGAACTTTAGCAGACATTGGACATGCTACACCATCTTATTTTAGTTTGATTTATTGGACATTATTGATGATGATGCATAAAAAGTTGGTATGTTGTATTTTATATAGTTGCATACTTGCATACTGAAGTTCTGTTAAGGTATTTCTCAACATTCATCTTATTATACCTTTTCTTATAGTTCTTCATCTTACTATACCCTTCTTAATATAATTCAATTTACTATAATTTTTTGGCAAATTGATTTCAGAATATCTGTATATTTCATGAGTCAACAGAAATTATAATCTCAGAATGTCCACAAAAATACGCAACTAAGTAATATGATGGAAAGCCTAGATAGCCTGTTAGTCCAAAAGGATAAACTTATGGGAGTTGAATCACAGAAAGTCTAGATAGAGACATGCTAAGTTCCTCAGGCATGGCAGACCAGGTATCAGATGTGGAATTAAAATTAAAAGGTAAAGGATCTAACACAATATGGTATCCTTGTTCAGGTATCCGGAGGATATCAAGAGAAGGATGACCTCTTCAAGTATTACCTTACAAACCTGGTGCAGGAATATGTTCAGATAGAAGAATATAGCTTCTATGTCTGTAAATTATTGTTTATATGTCTAAGATGATAATTGATCCAAGTTCTGACAAATCCCAACTTTCCCCAAGACAGTAACAAATAGAAAATAAATGAAAAAAAATTGCATATGTGAGAGCACTCTGTACTTCTTATTAATATAACTCTAGCTATAAATTTTGCACAAATAAGCTTTTTAAGTTGCAATCACCTTCAGTTTTGCCAGGTAAACTCCACGCGCAAGCACACCAGAAGGAGTGGTCTCTTCATCCAAGCAGTGTACATAGGGTTCCCGCTGTGGAGCAAATGTACCCAACATCCCTCTCATTTGATCAACTGAATCCAAGATCACCAAAGAGTAGAAAAATAATTAAAGGTTATTTTAAATTCTGAATACATAATCTTGGGGAATTAGCAAATCATGTGGAAGCTGAATGTTGAGCACTGTCTATTAGGGTAATAACCACATCAATGTGTTTATCCTCTACAATCCACTAGTTTAAGCATGAAATAGATAAGTCTCTTTACATGAAAATAATAAAGCAACAATTATATGGATAAATTTCATTCAGACACAGATGTGTTAACAAGGTAGAAGGCAAAACAAATTATAAGATTGCTAAAATAAGGTGAACAAGTAATACATTTCCACTCTTCAGTTTCCATAGAACAGAAAATTAAAAATTATAAACATTCATGGCTCTGACCATGACTTGTATATAATAGTGAACAACAGTAACAAAGTGTAAGTCATATAACAACTATAGTTACTGAGTTGCTTCGAGGTTCAAGTTAGTATTATAAGGACATGGGCACAGGAATTTGAATCTGAAACATGTCTGGCAATCTGATTCAGCAAGATGAAGAAACAAGGACTCACAGACATGACTATAAAAAGTATAAACTATTAAAATAGTTCATATTTTACTGAATAAAATAATATTCATTGCCTATATAGCTGCTTATTTTTATTGAGTAAATACGAAGATAAAGTAAAATATAACAAAAGACTGTCCTTTGAGAATCATTGAGTATCAGAGTCTGACACATGTCTGATACAGACATTTCATCAATTTAGGAGAGTCAATGCAACACTGATCCAAGTTTTTCTCTGAAAACGAGAATCAATTCAATGCACATGTGGTGTTTCAATTGGAAGTGTTCTAGTATTCTGATTGAAGCAAATCCAACAGATCATTAAGATTGAATTCCACAGACCTTCAAACCTCATCACTTTTGCTCTCTTAAAATCATCTGAAGTTAATACTCTAAACAGAGCATGCACACCACTTCAAGTAAATAACACCACTTTAGTTCCTGTACTTGGATTTTATGGTAACTAGAGTATGCCCAAAACTCTTTTTTAAACCACTATATGTATTCTTAGAACCTCAAAACAGATAATATGACATGTTCATAAAGAAAAGGATTTTGACCTTGAACTCCACCCTTCCACACTGTATTGCAGTATGCCAATCCAGAGACGATGTTGTGCTTAACTGTGAATGCCAGCTTAAGTTGATACTTAGATCCCTCTCTGAGTGTAAACAGTACCTTTCCTTTTTGTTTCTCATCCACCGGCAAGGGAGTATTCAGTTCTCCACAATCCTCAGAGATGATTCCTATCGAGTGGAATGTAACTTCAGGTTCCATTTGGCCTAACAAAAGCAGAAACCAGAACTTTCGAAAATCAAATACTAAACAAGGCCTGGAACATCAATGTAACAAGATACATTAAGGGGTCCAAAAGGGGAACCATTTAAATCTCCTTCAATGCAACCAAGCAGCTTCTCTTTCCACCTCCTTAAGCTTTCATCATCCTGCAAAAATAGAAAAAAAAAAAGAAAAACAGAAAAAAGATTAATGGAAATTCATCCCACAAAGCTATGACCAACATGGCTGACTTGCCACCGACATATATGAATGTAAAACCCAAGCGTTCCAACTTCATCTTCAAAAACAAACTCCAAGGAATAAAAAAAAAATAAATCATTAAAAACGAACTCTACCAATGATACACGCTCAAATCCTGACAACAACCATGAAATGCAAAAGACCCAAAAAATTGAAAAGTCCAAATTAAGGAAAAATCCAACCCAGAAATGTAAAACCCCACCTAGAAAACAACACCCAAAAGTTAAAAAAAAAATGTTCAGCATAAAATGAGAGCCCATTTCAATACTTCAGTAAACACAATGCCATTTCTCTCTAAAATTCATGCAAGAATACACCCAAGAGCAAGTAGACATTTTCGGTTGGTTATTATTATTGTCTTTTATTTATTTATTTTGGGGGAGGGGGTGGAGTTGGGATCACAGACACAGTAAACCAGAGTAAAAGAGAGGACCTTGTCTTTCTCAAGCTGTTCCTTGAGAGGAACCAGGGGACCTGGAACAAAACCAGACACAAGCCCATCATCTTCCTCTTCCTCCTCCTCAACAACCTCATCACTACGAACCTTCTCGCTAATCTTCTCGGTTATCATCTCTCCTTGCCGTGGTTCCTGCTTTTCACCAACCAAGGAAGAAGAAGAACTACAACAAAAAGAAGAAGAAGCACTTGTAGATGGGCCTGCTGCTTCCACTCTCCCCCCACTCTCCATCAACCCCAAGGCCCCAACTTATCAAGACACACAAACAACAGAAGGAAAGAGAAAGGAAGCTCACGCAAGGTTTCAAACTTAGAGATCCCTTTCAAAAGAAACCGTATACACAGGATTATACCTACGATGTTTATACAAACATACGCCTACGATTCGTCTCTATTCTGCGTCTCCTTACGCATCTCTTTTGTTGTCGGCATCAAGAGTCAAATGTCAAGAGACTCAAACACAGAAGATAAGGACAAGAACCATCCCTACATTATATACAGAGAGAGAGAAGAAAAGCGACGTAGGACGTACTTTTGTATTATATAATATAGAGATTTTGTAGTAGATAGAGCCTAGTTGGTGGATCTTCATGCATCACAGGTGGGACCTGTGGGACCCAGAAACAAATAATCCATTGCCATTATCATGGTATTAATGTAATGCTCGTCAATTCCGGCATAATGAGTGGAGCCGGGAGCGAGCTGTATAGTACTGGGATTCGCTCCTCACACAGGGCGCCTCACACCGACCTCATTGGCACATAATGGAATGTGCCTCAGACCTGTAAGGTAAGTGTGAGGCGCCCTGCGTGAGGAGCAGATCCGGTCTCTGCTGTATATTGTGGTGTGGGTCCTGCATCACTCACTTATTAAGGAGACAAACCGACGATTAATTACTTTATACATCTGGGTCTCGCTTAATCTTGTCCACAAGTCGGTGTCTGGTTAGTTGAAAAGTAAGAGAGAATGTAGGCATTTTGGCGCCAGAATCAGGTGGCATTTCAGCTCGAATGTGATGCCTTGGGATCCTAGAATTCTCGAGGAAAAGGTTGCCTGATCTTGAATCATGGGATAGAGGGAGGAGGGTTCATTATTTTTGCCGGTTGGTGCTCTGGCCACCTGGCCTATCAAGGCCTCTGTAGTTTCTGAAACACTCGAGCACTCTACATTTTTTCAGTACTTGGCCATGATTTTGTGTTTGGGGTAGGCGACAGGGGCTTGGGCTGCACCCTTAGGCTATGAGAACGTGGCAAGAGAAACCATCTTTTTTCAAACACTTTGGAGACTGATAAAGCATAAAAAGAGTGTAAGCCAGAGTGCAAATCTGTACCAGCTGAGCTCTCCAACAAAAAACCCATCAAAGTGTAATCCTTTTACCTCAGAGAAAAGAGGGTTGTTTTGCTTTTTCTGCCATATTAATCAGTCCCCATTATGGCCTAAGGTGGAAACCATCATGGGTCATTCTGTTTTGGCTGGTTGATGTGGCAGATCCAGAGGGAAAGATTAGGGCTTACTACCAACCATCTCTGAGGCAACTCCACCTAGAGGCTGGCTGTTTTTGAATGTCATTTTCATAAATTTACCTATCAATCCTCTCTAGCTTCCTGGTCCACCATCCACCATTAGGAAGTGCAGATTACCATGTCCACCACGCTGCTTTTCTGAATTAAAACCCAGTAGTTAATTTTGAAGAGACAAAAAGAAACAGTTTGTTTTCCCATGCTCATGTGCCTTCCTCTTTTAACAAATTTGATTGTTTCACCATTAGTTTACTAGGAAAGACAACTATTATAAAACCGGTAAATAACTCGTTAAAGGCAGTTAAACCGAGAGATACTTTTGTATAAAAAAAAGGATAAGTATACTGCACTCCATCTCCATCTCAGAATTCTATTGCAGACCTACACAAATTCAGAATTATAAACACCTCCACCTATAACAGCCATACTCGCCTGTGAATTGACATCAATTCCGATTTGGCACCTATACCAACTAAACGGTGGAGCTAAGATTTCTGAGAGTGGACTGAACAGTAAAAACCCCAAAAAAATTACCTAGAGATAATTTTAATCAGTTACTCAGAAAACAAGTATTTGTGACAAAGAAATATGTGGAATCAGCTATAAACATCTTGCCATCAATCTTATTGTTATGCATTGTATCGTATAATATGTATCAACTTTTAGGGTCACAGATATGCTAAATACAAGTATTCATGACAAATGGCCATATTCAACCATTAACACCACCCTTCTCAGAGATGGCATGCAGGCATGATTAAAGTTTGAAAGCTAAAACAATTTCAATCCAAGAGTATCGCCCCTTTTGAATCGGGCGTGTATGAATACTTCGAAGTTTGAAGCACACTTTCCATTGTGAATCTGAAGAAAATGTAGTAAGACAAACGGAAGGTGTCAAAGATCAAGAATCAAAGCCAAATCCAGCACATAATTTAGTCCAACATGTTGAAGGCATAAGTTGGAGACCCCACCCTCCCTTCACTTTCTTGCTAAATTATCCCCAGCCATGACAAGGATGGACATTCCGTCTTATTATATTAACTTAAATAGCAAACAAAGACTGGATACTTGCTGGATCTGTTTGAAAAATTCCCTCAACTCCCACCTATTTCATAACTCAATGGGGTGAAGCCGGTGGGCTATCAATTTGAAAAAGAATTCTCTTGTTAACATCATGACCCGATGACACACTGGCATCAACATCAGCCCCACCATGCTTCAGATGGCAGGAGTCCATAGGGAAGTCTTAAAGATAAATTTTGGTTTAATTTGTCTACCAGAGTAAAGAATTTTACATACTTACAAAACAATAAATTATGAAAAGCAATTATTGGCCCACTACCTGACTCAGAAAACAAGTTCCCACTGGCAAAGAAGCTAGACATTTTCCCAGCCTATATTTCATTATGAAGCATAACAAAAAATGGATGGGCCTTGCCGCAATGGTTGGGTTGCTCCATTGCAACCTGGGTGACCAGGGTTCAAACCTTGGAAACAACCTTTCTGTATGTGCATTGGTGGGAGCCTTGTGCACTGGGCTGCTCTTTTTCATAACAGAAAAGAAAAATAAGAAGAAAAAGGAAATGAGGCATATCTTCAATAGTGTTCCTTTTTTTTGGTAATTCATTAGTGTTCAAGCTGCTAGATTTGCATATTGAGAACAAATCATATTTATCAGCAGATAACTCATGCTCCAATGAACAAATCTATGGTCACCTTGTCTGTTATTGTATTCATATGGATATATCTTGGTGACAATTAATGTTGGAAGACCATAATTTCCTTGGTGATTCTTCGAAACTTTTTTTTTAAATGTTAATGTACTCATTGTACTGTATTAATTAGCAAAAATGTACAACTCAACCCCCTCACAAGGTATTGTTATAAGGGGAGGTATCAAAGCATACATCTTCCATATGAGAATTAATTACGAAAAAATGAATTGTAAGAGACACCCTTAAGTAGGAACAATCCCCACATTTATTTATTTATTTTTCATTTATTAGATTCTACACTGAAGTTTTTTTTTGAAAGATGATTCAATATTGAAGTTGAATGAAGCACTTAAATTCCTAATGGCAATTAGTCATGTATTTAACACCATTCTTTCTGGTTCAGGTAAGAAACAATTTCAACAGGTAAGAGGTAACCTTACAATATTAATGAACAAGCAAATTGGTTTCAAATGTTCACACGGACCTAAATAATACAACAAAAACCAAAATAAATTCCTATGTCTAGCCAATGTAAAAAAAAGTGAAATATATGATGACCTTAGGCAGTCCAAATCAACTCCTAGTCTCTTACAAAATAAAAGTTAATAGCAACTATTTTTTATTCATCGAGGCACTTTGTACTACTTTGTTCAAGTCACTGAATATACTTTTTTGATCAATAGCACCTGAAGTTCCTTGTAAACCCAAGTGGGTTAGCACTCCCTATACATGAATGTGCTCTGGTGGTGTTTACCAATTACCTTGTATATTAATTAAACCTGTCCCCTGTGGTGTATTGGAGCTTGAATGAAGAGCCAATGAATTTCAAAACACAACCAAATAGAAAACAAAAAGAATTTTTCTTTTATTGCCATTTTTATCAATGTATGGATTGCAAGGAAATACATTCAAATTAAATAGGAGGACCAGATAGAAATTTACATTTATGCTTACAGAAATGGTGTGTGTAAATAAGACTAAAATTATCTGAAGGGTTCAACTGGTGCAGATTCCTCAAGAAAAGTTGCAGCCTCAAAACAATCAGCAGTTTCTGATAATAACGAACCACCTTCAGCTTTGCAAAGAAGCCCAAGGTTGTACCAAGCAGAATGGTTTGTCCTGTCTAGCCGAAGTGCATCTGTCAGAAAGCCTCTAACAACTGCCAATGACTGCTCACCAAGTTTTCTGAGTACAATAGCTGTGGAGACTAGGCTTGGGACATGAGTAGGTTCAATGTCTAATGCACCTGAAAATGCTTTCAGAGCCTCTTTGTGGAGGCCTTTTGCTTCATGAAGTAAACCTAAATTCATAACCAAGTCAGAATCCCCTGATTAGTTAGGTAATTGCAAGTTTAGTTTTTTGTTATCTGCTTATTATCTAGGCAGTGTAATATTTAGATGAAAAACAGGAACCAAATAAATCGATTCAAAGATCTGATATTCCAGAAACAGAGGACAGAAACAAGAGGCATGAGAATAGAAGGTCATGTCATAATGATTTGTTCAGATTCCTCAGAAGCTGCAAGTCATGGTAGTGGGAAACCCTTGAGCTCCAAACCCATCCCTCGTACTGAAACCAACACCCTTGGTCATAGGGCTGCAAATGGAACTGATTGAATCAGATATACCAGGAATATTAAGGGCTGCAAACGACCAACACCCTTGGTTATAGGGCTCCAAACCCATCAGAATTCCCAACTGAATTTTGATGGGAGCAGCCAGGGCAACCCAGGGCCCTCTGGGTTGGTAGGAGTTCTGAGAAATGAGGCCAGAGAGGTTATCCTTCTCTACTCTGGCCCATTGGGAGTTGGGAATTCTGTTAAAGCAGAATTAGGTTCCACACAGGGAGTCCTTGCAAAAGAATTGGGTGTGGAGCAGCTGCTGATTGAAGGGGACTCTAAGATAGTAGTGGGGTGGCTAAATAATTCAGAGGATGTCACATGGATGTACAAGAATGAGCTAAAGAAATACGAATTTCTGACAAGGAATATGTCTGTTACAGTACAATGGGTTGGAAGATCAGCAAATGCCTTCCCTGATACATAGGCAAAACAAGGGACAAATAGGGAAACACTGTTTTGGGATAAACTGAAATCTTGTAGTAGCATGTGCAAAACCCAGAAATGCAGATTCGAATGGCACCCAAAAATGAAAGAAAAACAGAGATAAAGAGAAGCAAGCAAAGAGGACACAGATTTACGTGGTTTGGCTTATAGTCTATGTCCACAGGCGAAGGAGTAGAAATTCAGTATGTAATCTGTAATGGAGACGAATACAAAGCTGTGCACTCACAACCTCACTCACAGAAAACCCTAAACCCCAAATACACCCAAAGTCTCCCTCTTCTCTCACACAACAAAGACTAAGTATACAAGAGAGAAAACCCCCGAAATACATAACTCTTCCTATTCGGTTTGGACCCTTAAGCTGAACCCCAATGGTGATTTGTGGTGGGCTACTGGCCCTATGCTTCCACCACAAGCCACTATGAATTTTTTCCTACGGGTTTTTCTCAACTTAATTCAGAACTGGTTCATGAAGCGTGTCACAACAAAGAATTCAAGGCACAACCCTAACAGATTTTAATGGAATGTGATATATTATTTATCAAAATGAAATTCAAATTCAAATAGAACTATAGTTGTCAAGGAATCTAGGTGATTCTGGGTGCCAGCGGGGTGCTTACGCAACATCTAGGCAATAAGAATTTCATAAAAAAGACCTAGTTCCAACCATGAGTGCCATCTACCCAAAATCATATGGAAAACTTTGTCCACTAAAGATTCCCAAAGTCACCTGAATGTTCTCTAGTTTTGGATACTACTCATTATGCATATTAATTGAAAAAATAGCAATTTTAATTTTATTAAATTTCCTCTCAAAACATGGCAAATCATCAGATCTAGGACAAATTGTATTTCAAATATATTAATTCCATTACTTCAAAAAATAATACTAATATAATAAATATTTAAGAAAGAAATTTCATATCAAATTAGCAACTAAGAAGGCTATAATTTTATACAATAAAATTTAAGTTACAGAACAAGTAAAAAAGACAGAACAATGTGGAACCACTATTTTACTTAATGCAAGAGAGAGAAAGAGAGAGAGAGAGAGAGAGAGAGAGAGAGAGAGAGTAGAAAAAACAATAAAAGAAACTTCTTTATACTTTGATTCTTTCTTTCTTTTTCTTTTTTGGTAATAAATAAAAAATAGAGATTACATCAAGGTGATGAAGAATCACCAAAATCAAACAAAGTATAATAAGCAAACAGCAAATACTATTACATCAACAAACTGGAATCATACTCTAAAACAGACCAAAAGTAATCTTCAAAAACTTTCTTTGAGATGTCTTCAAAATCTGGTAGGAATAAAACCCAGTCCTACGACTTTTTCCATTCAAGAAAACAATTTGTTCCTTGGTTTTTGATTGTCCATCAAAAGTTCTTATATTTCTTTCCTTCCAAATTTCCCAACAAATTGCAAAGGGAATGCAGCTCAAAACAATATTTGATTTCCTAATTCCTCTCAGCTTGGGCCAGCTACCAAATATTTCCTCTCAGATGATGGATCCTTCTCCTCCATTGTTGGTCGAGGATCTATATCTTTGCCATTTGGCCTACCTCTATCAAATGTTTTACATGTTCCAAAGCTGCCTATAAATTTGCTATCTATTAGCAGCATTACACACTCTTTGAACTGTTCAGTAACTTTTTTTCCTCAATCTTGTGTCTTTCAAGATTTGGCCTCCAGGAGGATGATCGGTAAATGGAACATGGTGAATGGTCTCTATGTGTTGGAGAATAAAGTTGGTCTTGCAGCCTCAGAGTCTTTGAGTCAGTCAAATAAGAGTCAGGTTACTTTGTGGCACAATCGTTTTGGTCATATGTCCTTTGAGTCTTGAAGTACTTGTTTCAAAAATTGTTTAAGTTTGTGTCGATTAATAAATTTAGTGTCAAGTGTGTCAGCTAAGCAAGCATTGTAGAACTTCATTTCCTTTGCGTAATAAAAGATCAGATGTTTCCTTTTCCACTGTGTATTCTGATATTTGGGGACTCGTAAATATTCCAACGGAAAATGGCTAGAAATACTTCATATCTTTCATTGACAACTTCTCTCAATATACGTGGATGTACCCTTGCACTCTCGAGAAGAAGTTCCTGAACTTGTGAAAGCCGTCCGACGTATGGTATACACACAATTTCAGACAGAGATTTAAAATTTCCAATTAGATAATGCCAAAGAGTATTTTCATGGTGACCTCATGCTGATACACATGAATGTTCTCAAAAGGTTCTGGGTGGATGCTGTTATGACTGTGGCTTATCTTATCAATAGGAAGCCATCTCGTCTCTTGGAGTACAAGTCCCCTTGTCAGCTCATCTTCCCTACAACTCCATTGTTTCCTATCTCTATGCGTGTCTTTGGGTGTAAGTGTTTTGTCCATGATGTGTTTCCTACTCATGGTAAGCTAGACCCCAAATCCATTGTTTGTGTTTTCCTTGGCTACCCCCTTTCCCAAAAGGGTTATCATTGCTTTGACCCCATTTCCAAAAAGTACTTTGTATCCATGAATGTTTCTTTCTTTGAAGATGTGCCTTTCATTCCTGCTTCTCCTCAGGGGGAGAGTCCAAGTGAGGAGAAATAGAGACAAGTTTTGTTGCCTTCTCCTCTTGACCCCCCTTTATTTAGGGTTTTTCATAGACAGTGGTACAAAAGTCAAGGCCGGGGTCAACAAAGTTCAATAGACACAAAGCATCTTGAAGCTATGCAACCTATGCCATCCGACTCTCAGGGGTTGAATCCATCACCGCATCTAGGTACTATTGTTCCAGTTGATATCCTTGAACCCATTGATATTGACACTTCCAATTGTGATCTGGATCTTCCTATTGCTAAGAGGAAGGGTGTTAGGTCATGCACCACACACCACCCAATGTCTCATTCCTTATCCTATGAGAATGTTTCACCCTCTTTCCATGCTTTCCTCTCCGCTATTGATAGTGTTTCCCTTCCTAAGAGTGTTGCAGAAGCTTTACTTGTTCCTGAGTGAACATATGCAATGAAAGAGGAGATCAATGCCCTTCACAAACATGGCACATGGGAGTTGGTAGATCTTCCTGAGGGAAAGGAACCTGTGGGGTGCAAATGGGTATTCTCTGTGAAACATACGCATATGACACAGTGGAGAGGTACAAGGCCCAGTTAGTTGCAAAAGGTTTTTCACAGGTGTATGGAGTTGATTATGTGGAAACCTTTGCACCTGTAGAAAAAATGAATTCTATTTGAGTTCTCCACTCTTTAGCAACAAATCTAGATTGGGAGCTTCATCAATTGGACATTAAAATGCCTTTCTGAATGGTGACTTAGAAGTGTACATGACCCAACCTCCAGGTTTTTGTGTTAAGGGAAATGAGTAGAAAGTCTATAGATTGAAGAAATCTTTGTATGGCTTAAAACAATCTCCAAGGGCCTGGTTAAGTAGGTTCCACAAGGCAGTTCAACAGATGGGTTTTAAGCAGTGCCAGTTTGATCACACACTCTTTGTGAAGAGAGAACAAGGTAGAGTGGCAACCTTAATTGTGTATGTCGATGATATTATTATCATTGGTGATTGGGACTCAGAGATATAGAGATTGAAGAGATTCTTGCCCACTCAGTTTGAAGTGAAGGATTTGGGGCCTTTACGTTATTTCCTTGGAATTGAAGTTGCCTGCTCTAATCAGGGTATCTTCATCTCCCAAAGGAAATTTATTCTAGATCTCTTGAAAGATAAGGGGAAGCTTGGAGCAAAACCTGCTGACACTCCTATAGATGTAAACCACAGACTTGGGGATTGCAGTGGTGAGCCCATAGAAAACACAAAGCAGTATCAAAGATTGGTGGGCAGACTTCTCTACCTATCTATGACAAGACCTAACATTGCATATGCAGTGGGAGTCCTTAGTCAGTTTATGCATGCTCCTAGGGCCACACACTTAGAGGTAGCATACAAAGTTCCTAGATATTAAAAGAAATTCCCTGGGATAGGGCTCCTATTTGGAAAACATGGGCATATGAGAGTTGAGGTTTACACTGTTGTAGATTGGGCTGGTTCTGTGGATGACAAAACCCACGAGGGGCTATTGTGCCTTTGTTGGGGGAAATCTTATTACTTGGAGGATTAAGAAACAAAGTGTGGTGGCCAGATCAAGTGCAGAAGCTGAATACAGGGCCATGTTTCATGGTGTGGCAAAACTACTATGGATAAAGAATCTCTTGGATGAATTGGGCTTTCCTCTTAGTGACCCTATGT